GCAGCATTTAGCTAATGAGATTATCAGGCTCATGGACTGCCGTTTAATGTAAGTGATCAACACTATGCTTATCTCTGATGAAAGCTTGACAACTAGCAACACCTGTCTGTTTAGTATCCCTCAACGCAACAGCCACCAAATATGTAGGAATTTCCCACTTGCTTTTCAAAGGCAGAGGTCACTAGTTTGGTCAAGCCGGTCTTTGGAAAACAAGTTTAGACATGATAAAATGGTGGGAAAGGATAAGCAAAGGATGTAATGGATCTGTTAATGTAAAGGCAACATCTAACTAAAGCAACAAAAACATCTTATAGCAAATGCCATTGTTCAAACAATATTCTATTGGAGCCAAAATCCAGTTATTTTAACCTTGTACTAGGGGTCTTCAGGCACCAACCTGCACATATAACTTATTTGCCTGCAATCCATTTATATTGGTCATTACTACTCAACTTAAACCGACAGTAGGTTGGTTGGTTAAACTCATGAGACAAAAGAATATAACCTTTGAAAAGCAAATTCACACTACAAAACTATGAGTGTAGCACACTCCAAAGATGACTACAAAGTTGTTTCCTAACCTTATCAGTGGGTCGGAAAGGTTCCATAAGATCTTTTGAATTCCGAGGAACCATGTTCGGCTCAAAGTGAACTAAACGGTATGGTTCTGATTTAAGGAAGGTTGTGATCCACTGAGCTGCTTCTTCTCCACAGTATCTGCCTTGGACATCAAAGCCAAACAGCCTGCAAGATTTGTGGGAGGCATCAGTACTATCTTTCCTAACAACTGTAATTAAAATAATTAATACTACAATGCTGGAGAAGGGGGGAAGCTAATCATTTTCACAAATGGAAATCCCCACCCATACCTGTCATTTGCCCTATTAGAGAAAACAGACAATGCCAAGGACTTCACATGTTCAAAAACTACTCTTCCTAAAGCAGTTTAGGGTAAAATATAGAAAACCTCTACATACAAAAGCATAGTTTGTGGTAACACTTCAGAATGGACAATAAGGCTCAAAACTTGAAAATCAGTTGCATCGCACACACAAAAATTAATGTCATTCACTGGTGTCCCCTTGTGGTTATTGTCAAGATTTTTTAGAATGGAGGATTGCCTTTTAAGCCAACTCTATTGCTGTAGCTTGGTGGGGAGGGGAATATTAAGAATTATGTACAACAACTAAGAGGTGACATACAGGGAAGTCTAAAGTACCTGCAATTCTGCACTGGGTTTTTGACTGATAGTTGGACAGGAATATGAAGATCCTTCATTTCTGGAGCTCTCAGAGTTAAACAGCCATTTTCACTGGAGACAGAAATCAATACTAGCTGAGGCTCCTGCCGAGCGGTCACTGTATGTCCATCTTCTTTTATTACAAGCCAACACCTGAGTTAGAAACAGACCAAAATTGAAAGCTGATAAGGCTTTATACATCTGATGGAAATGGACAGTAGCCCACAAAAGCTCAAGACATACATTTTAGTCTTCATGGTGCCACAATACTTTTTTGCTCTACTGAAAGGTGAAGCCGTTGAAAGAAGAGGAAGAATACACTTGTCAGTTTTTGAAATGGCCCTTGTAGCTGCCCCTTTAACAACAGCACTTTCATCCCTTGCAAATAGCAGGTGATAATGTTTAATGCCATGTCTTGAAGAGCTTCCTCTGATGTTTTCTGTTTGCCAAAGCTCTGTGAAAAGGAAAAGAAGCAAGCCAAGCAAAAACCCTAAGGAGAAAGAAGCATGGTAAGTACAGTGGAGAAAGCTCCGGAGTTCTCTTCCGGGAGGGACAGGATACAGCCTGACGGAAAGCAAAACATGAACAAACAGGGGATGCCAGCACCAAGTACTGTACTGAGTTGTACAACTGGAGAAGAGGAAAGCCAGGGTGAAAGGTGTCACGATTCAAAAGGTCTTACATTCTGAAGAAAAGAACAAAGGGTTAAGTCCCTACTCACAGTTTGAGTTGCAAATCATAACCAGGTAAAAATACCATTATATTCCACCTTCTGCCACTGCTCTTGTTTCCTTCCATGCAAAAGGCTCATGGGGGCAGGAGTCTGTGTGTTGGGGGTGGGAGAGTGAAAGGAGATTAAGCTTAACTTGGCACTTTCAGGGTGTTTTGACTATGGTATGTGCTTCTCTTTTTCACAGCAAAGTAGTGTTTAAAAGAACCTACTTCCAGAACAGGCATGGGCAGCTGTAACCTTTATCTCACTTGGAGCAGTTTCGTTTTACTGCGAATCAAGCAATTTATATGAAGGGCTGTCATGTGGAAGACAGAACTAGCTTGTTTTCTCCTGCTCTGAAGGGCAGGACTCGAACCAACGGCTTCGCCTTCAAAGTTACAAGAAAGGAGACTCCCAACTAAACATCAGGAAGAACTTTCTGAACAGTAAGAGCTGTTTGACAGTGGAACGGACTCCCTCAGGAGATTGTAATCTCTCCTTCCTTGGAAGTTTTTAAAAGCAGAGGTTAGATGGCCATCTGTCATGGATGCTTTGGTTGAGATTCCTACATTGGGCTACATGACTGTCGGGGTCCCTTCCAACTTTACAATAGGGCTGGACTTCTGTGTGGAAGGACTGTAAACTCATTGCAGTTCAACTACTCAAAAACAAATCCCTGATCCAGGAATTGTTAACTGTATGTTCTTCACAACTGGCTCCGGCTGTGGCACTCGGGGTTCCAGCAAATAAATGGAATAGATCCCACAAGCATCCTGTACTAGAAGATTTTTGTGGAAGTGTGCATGGGCGTAGCCAAGTGGGGGCAGCTGCCCCCCCAAATCAAGAAAATCAATAAAAATACGTACCGGTACTTAACTGAGGTTCAGCTCGCACTGACAGGAAATCTACCCCCCCCCCCAACATAAATCCTGGCTATGCCCATGAAAGTGTGCAAAGGATTTGCGCAAACAGCTACAATCTTATGCAAGCTCGCCTAGGGGGCGAAATGCACACTTCGATCCTTTGCACACTTACCTGAGAGCAAGCCCCAAAATGCACTTAGTCCGAGTATACATGCGCACGATCCTGGGATCAAAGGCGGTATCTAAATTCGATAAACAAAAATTTGACGCGCGTGTTCTTAAAACACCTGTCCACACGCTTCTCCAAAAGTTTGGGAGGAAAGCAAGTTAGAAGGGAGGCTGGTGGGGAACCCACAGAAGCAAGAAAAAGCGGCGCCTCCCGACTTGCACACCCACCTGTCGCCCAGGTCCCCGTTGCGGAGGCCCAGCTCGGTCACCTCCGCCCGCTCCACGGCCACCCCGCGGCAGGACTTGACCGGGTAGATGAAAAGGCCCGAGACCCTTCCCACCGCCTTCAGCTCCCGCCGCCCTGGACGGAGGCGCCTTCGCCGGCGCCAGGCTGCAGCAGCCCCCAGCATGACGAGGACGGCCAGGCCGGCGGAGGCCAAAAGCCAGCCGGGACGAGGCTTGGGCAGCGACTGAAGAGCGGAGCCGGCCATGGCGGTGGCGGCTGCAACAGCACGAGAGAGAAGAAGCGCCGCGAAGGGGCAGCGCGAGTTTATATGAGAAGCAGGCCGCTCCCTCGACGCTTTCGCTGCTACTGAGGAGGGAGAGGAGACGCCGCCCCTCGAGCCCCACTGGAGGCCGCGGCGTTTGGGCGGGAATCTCGGCCAGAAATCGGGCCGTGAGATCCCTCGTTAGCCGTCCATGCAGAGGGGAAATGGTTCGTCTTAGGACTCTTGAGGCGCTTGTCGCTGCAGACCCAGGAGGATGGTGTTGTGACTTTTCAGTATTGTTATATAAAATGAGCAGGGAGCCCCCCCCCATGGCCAACCAACATCTGGAAGCGAAGGAAAAGCCTGTCTCGTGCAGGTGTGGCGAATCTCTAACCCTCCAGCTATGGCTGAACAACAGCCCAGAGCCCATGAAGCAAGGTGAGGCAACTGCCTCAGGCGGCAGGATCACACGGGCGGCATATTTGGTCTCTAAATAAGGTACAGTGGTACCTCGGGTTACATACGCTTCAGGTTACATACACTTCAGGTTACAGACTCCGCTAACCCATAAATAGTACCTCGGGTTAAGAACTTTGCTTAAGGTGAGAACAGAAATCGTGCTCCGGCGGCGCAGCAGCAGCAGGAGGTCCCGTTAGCCAAAGTGGTGCTTCAGGTTAAGAACAGATTCAGGTTAAGAACAGACCTCCGGAACGAATTAAGTACTTAACCCAAGGTAGCACTGTATCCCCAGCCGCTGCTGCTGCTGCCGTTGCGCAACTTGGAGGCTGGAGCTGCCACCTCCTCGGCACCCCCTCAAAGCCTCTCCACAACAGCCTCCCAGCGAATTGGGAGGCACTACTGGCTTCCTTCCACTCCAGGGAGAAAGTGGGGGGGGTCTCTCCTCTGGGGTCTCCTGAGTTCTGCTCCCCGCCAGAGTTATTCAGAGTAGGCCCCTTCCCCATCCCACCTTTTTATTGCCCTCCCTGTTTCTGATGAAGATTTTCACTTCCCCCTTCTTCCCTGGCAGGGGGAGCACCATTTAGTGGTTCACCTCAGGTGCCAAAAGGTCTTGACTTGAGCCTCCTCATTTATTTATACCCACCCTTCCTCCAAAGCTCTCAAGGTGGCAGACCTAGTTTCTCCCCTCCCCTCTCCATTTGAAATATACTCGGAGTCGAGTGTGGATTTCATGCTCTTTATTCAGCTCATAGTAGCGAGGAATGAAAGTTCCCCCAAGATATCTGCTTTACATACATTATTTACACAATGGGCTGCACGTGATTGGCTAATTCTGGGATTCTCCTGTAGGCCAATCAGGTTGAGGATTCACTTCCACCTGGAGCTGGATTGGGTGGCTCCTGCGGACCAATCATATTGCTGCATTGTTCTAGGACCAATCAGACTGCTGCATTTTGGATCCTATTCAACTCAGTACATAATACCATTGTATCCTACCTGTGAGGTAGGTTAGGCTGAGAGAGAGAGAGATTGGCCCAAGGTCACCCAGTGAGCTTCATGGCCAAGCAGAACAAGAACCCTGGTCTCCCACTCTACCCATTGATCATGATTACTGGAGTGGATAGGAGTTGTAGTCCAGCAACATCTGGAGGGCCAAAGGTTCCCCACACCTGATTCACTTCAGCATTTGAAGTGGATGAAGTATGCACATAACTACCTAAAGAGTCCCACATATGCATAAGGCCAATAAGATTAGAATGTATGATTTCAGAACTACGTTAAAGGAAAATAATTACAGTGACAGCTTCCAAACCATTTTGCTGGTGTGTAATAATGTCTACTCACAAACTAAGTTCTATTGCCAAACTTTGAGCAGCATGTTGAAAGCTATGCTTATAGTGCATAATCCTTAAAGGCAGTTTGGCTCCCTCACTCAAGAATGTTGAAAATCCAGCTTGGCAGCGCCTTTATTTGGACTATTCTAGAAGACAAAGTTAGATTAGATCCTAACTTACAAATCAGGAAAATTGATTTCATAATGCTGCAAGCAGCATTGAGCAACTGGAGCAAGGTTTAAATAAAATATCAACTATTTGAATTATTTTCCTCAGCTAGCCAAGTTTTCAATATGCATAATGAAGTTTACATTGACGAAATGGCCTTAAAACATAATTTGTCTTAGCACTGAGATTTATCCAGGTTTGGTTCAATTCATGTATATTAAATGCCACCTCCTCGTTCATTTTTCAAATAATATTAGAACAGCTTCAGTGGGTCAGGCCAAGAACCATCTAGATTCAATAAGTGTAGCCTTCCGACTGTGCCAGCTGGGTAAGAACATTGGAAACTGCCTTATATCAAGTCATACCATTGGTTCATCTTAGCGTCGCCTACTCTGACTGGCAGTTGCTCTCTAGGATTTCAGGCAGGAGTCTTTACCAATCCTACTTGCAGTTGCTGTGGATTGAACCAGTGTTCTTCTGCATGCAAAGAAAGTGCTTGGCTGAGCAACAGATCTTCCCCAGTGCATCTGAATGCTTAGCTCCCAATCAAAATATTGATGCAGGCACCCCAATTCTCTGAATGGCCCTTCCAGATAGGTTTATCAGCACTGCTCATGTCTGCAAGTCCCACCTCCAGCATCCACAGGATGTCACCATCATCAGAATGCCAGCCCTATCTTTTTCTTTTATCTGGCTTTTGCCCCTTCAGCAGATGAACCAATATGGCAACAGAGCCTGTTAAATCTCTGCAGTCACTGCTGGTGTTGAAGTTTGTTAGTGCCTTCTTTTAGTGGGTGAGTAGTTTATAAGGTGCCAAATGCACACACAGGAAAATCTGATCTGACTGATCCATTTGCAATATAAAGTCCCCATCCAGAAGCACACAAAGTAGAATTGTATGTGGTGTGAAATCTTTCCCCTTCCTCTGTCCCGAACCTACAGCAAATCAGCTTCATTAAGGAGACTTAAGGGCGGAAAGAAAACATTTTTATTTCGTTCCAATCACATAATGGAGGGTAGAAAATAATTCTACTTTAGGAGTGGTATGAAGTCATAATGGGTGACCAGCTGCAGTAACAGATACTTCTGACATCACAGTGGATTCCTTAGCAACGGTTGGAGCATAAACACATAAACAATTGGTTTGTGAGCTCAAACTGCCTTTGGCTGGCTAAGCAAGGGTGGTATTTGATTAACTTTCCTGACATCTGAGCTTTGAGGTATCCAGAGCCTTGATCCTGAACTCCCAACGAGCCCAGGATCTTGAGCTGGAACCTCAGGCTTAAAACCTCCAGGGGCTTGGTTTCAAGTCCTTACCTCAATTCCTTCCAGGCTTTCATCTCAATTTGCACCATTTCATCAGTACCCCACAGGCTGATGTTACAGAGGTACTGAGGGTGGATGGTTCTCATGTTTGGGGATATTGTATTCAGCTAGATTTGGAAAGGCTTGCACTCTGCTTCAGAAAGAGCAAGTTCACAGCTTGGGGTGGGGGTGGGGTCTTCCCTGGATCAAGCTCTGTCTTTAGAGACCCATGTCACCCTCTGTGGCATGGAGTGAGTTTTACCAGCCAAGACTGATTCAGCAGCTGTAACCACTGCTGGAGCGTTTTGCAAAGGTTGCCCATGCTTTAGTAAACTCCCAGGTGAATTATTTCAATGTGCCATATGTGGGCTGCCTTCAAAAAGAGCTTCTGTTCAGAATACAGATGCTATAATTTTACTGGTACAGTTTGTCCAGATCCCATTTCTCAATTTTTTAACATGTATTTTAAGCTTCACTAGCCTTTTCCCAAGCCTTAAGCCTTAAATAGCCTGGGACTCAAATACTTGAAGGTGTACCTACTCCCATACTAACCTGCCTTCATTCTAAGGTCATCTGCTGATGCTGTTCCCTAAAACCTCCTCCATCAGAGAGGCAGTTCTCAACCAGAGAGCAAACGTTTTTTGGCTGTGCATCCCATTATAAAAGTGCCCTTTCTAAAGAAGCTTCCCTGGTTCCAATTTTTAGGTGTGAGGCAAAAACCATTTAACCACTTAAGCATTTTAAGTACTCTTTTGGATTTTTACAATTGTTTTTGGTATGCTGTTATTCATTTGTTTTAGTGTGGTAACCCCCAACCCGGTGCCCTCCAGATGTTTTGTTGGACAACATCTTCCATTGCTCCTAGCCATTGACCATCTCTGGCTGGGGCTGATGGCGGTTGGAGTGCAACAACATCTGGAGCACACCACATTGTGGAAAGCTGTTTAGGAGTATAACCCCTAACTCCAGCTGCTGCCCAGCAGAACTTAATGAAGCAGTGCGTCTGCAGCTCTGCTGCACATGCCAGCCAGGGCATGGAAGGTGGAGAGCAGGCAAATTTCTGCACTAGCCTGGAGCCTAGCAGAGCTGGATAGAGTGACACTGCACCCCATTCAACACCATACCCAGTGGCAAAGGAGTATGGTTTGCTTTCTTCTTCTTCTTCTTTCTTTGGCGATCACTCATAGCCGAGTAAGATTGTCTTCCGTAAACACGGTTTTAACAATGAGTCTATAAGTGACTGTGGAGGCTAATTCTGGACCCACACATCCTTCCACAATGGGGACATTGGTTCCCAGGCCGTGAGTTGATCACGGTGTGGATTTGCCAAGCGTGCCTTCCTCTTAGCACGTTTCTCCCTTGCGTCCTGAGTTCAAGTGTCTTCAAAGCCCATGACACCTTTGGTAAAGGCTGTTCTCCAACTGGAGTGCTCACAGGCCAGTGTTTCCCAGTTGTCAATGTTTATACTACATTTTTTTAGATTTGCCTTGAGGCAGTCTTTAAACCTCTTTTGTTGACCACCAGCATTACGCTTTCCATTTTTAAGTTTGGAATAGAGTAGTTGCTTTGGAAGACGATAATCAGGCATCCGCACAACATGACCAGTCCAACGAAGTTGATGTTGAAGAATCATTGTTTCAACACTGGCAATGCATTCTAACTTTCTGCCTGATCGTTTATATTTCTGTAAACTAATGTTGGAGTCAGGTTGTTTTTTTTTAAAAAAAGTAGTGTATGCATATTTTAAAATTGATGAATGTATATATTTATATATGTACTTTTAAAAATATTTTAACATTAGCTGGAAAACCATCCAGTCCTGAGACAAAGAAAAGGCAGAACACTTGACAAAGAAGAAATCGTGGGAGCCAAAGCAGGATGGGAGACTGGAAAGCCTACATCAATACAGTCCTGAAGGACAAAAACATTGAAGATGTAGCGATCGTGGGACATTCTGACAACAAATCTGTCTGGGCTTCAAAGCCAGGAGGCCTGCTGGCCGCCATCTCTCCCCAGGAAGTAGGAATAATTATTGGGCAGGACAGAAAGGCATTCCTGCAGACTGGGATCACCATAGCAGGGAAGAAGTGCAGCGTAATCCGAGACAACTTGTTAGTAGAGAAAGATGCTGTGATGGACACGAGAACCAAAGGTGGCGACAGCAGATCCATCTGTATTGGGAAGGGTGCCAAAGCGCTCATCTTTCTCATGGGCAAAAAGGGAGTCCATGGAGGGGCTCTGAATAAGAAGGTGCATGACTTGATAGCGAACATGAAAGCAAAAGGCAGCTAGAGCCAAGGATTTGTCTGGGTCACCTTTCTCCTGACTGACGAAACGTGGGGAAACTATTGCTGCTTTGAAATAAAAGGCATTTAGCAAACTCCATCCTGTTTCCTTGAGTTGTGAGGATGGGAAGGGCTATAGCTTAGTAGTAGAGCCTTTGCCTTTCATGTAGAAGGTTCCAGGTTCAATCCCTAGCATCTCCTGCTCTTCCTCTGGCTCACCTATCTGACTGATGCTAAGGGGGCTGCAGGTTCTATCGTGGGGGGAAAGATCAGTATTGGCTTCAGGTTTTGATGGGTCCTTCAGCAAGACACCTTCAGTGTGTCTGCCTGTATACTCTGCTTCTCTCACTGTGGAGATGGTGACTGCTGGAATTGTGACTTGCTTCTGCACTGTAGACAAGTATGAATCCAGCAAAAGGCAGACCCTCGTAACACACATTTCTTGCAGTATTGATGCCAGTGCAAGCATGCATGTGAAGTGCCAGGCATATAAACAGAAATCCATTGTTCAACCAATCACTGCAAGTAGTTTTTTAAAGAACATAGCACTTAATGGAGTAGCTAAAGGTACGGGGGCATTTTTAGCTCACTAGGACCTGGTGGGATGTGGGGTGGCGATCCTGAACACAGGAGGTGCCAAACTTTAGGTAGCATACTGAATCACATTACAACTTGACAGCTAAAGGTTGTTGGCTCTCTGTGTGACAGCCCTTCAGACATGTGAAGTACTATCATCTCTCATCAAGGTCACCAGCACCTCAGTGTATTTTTCTGCATGTTAATTATACCCTGCTGTTCCTTCACCCTTCCCTCATAGGACTGCTTTTCCATACTGCTGATCATTTTGGTCTCCATCCTCTGACCCTGTTCCAATTTGTCTATACAGTGGTACCTCGGGTTACAAACACTTTGGTTTACAGACTCCACTAACCCAGAAGTAGTACCTCGAGTTAAGAACTTTACCTCAGGATGAGAACAGAAATCGCGTGGCAGCAGCAGTGGGAAGCCCCATTAGCTAAAGTACCTCAGGTTAAGAACAGTTTCAGGATAAGAATGGACCTCTGGAACGAATTAAGTTCATAACCAGAGGTACCACTGTATCCTATTTTATGTAATAATTGTTTATATCCTTTGAAGTGTTTGAAGTATTCCAGAAGAGGTCAAACCAGTGCAAAATAAAAGCGGGACTATAACTTCTCATGATTTGGGCTAGGAATGCATCCCCAAATTGTATTCACTTTTCCCCCGCACCTGCATCACTGTACTGACTCGCATTCAGCTTGCGATTGACTACAATCCTGAGCTCCTTTTCACATGTGCTATCTTGTTTCCAAGCCAGCTCTTCCCCATCCTATGCCAAATGGAAGCCCCAGTCAGCAAACAATAATCTCCAGGGGCTTCAGCTGTGGCTGCTGGGAGAGTATGCAGACTTCTGCTTTCAATACTTATTAGCTACCCTGAATTTATGGAAACCCAGAAAATAAATATTAATTAAAAAAAACAAAAACCTCAGCTAAACTGGAATCTGTTTTCCAACCAATTCAAGCACTGAATTGGTGTTTTTTTAAAAATAAAATAAAGATTTTTTTAGTTTACAAAAGTACATGCATTGTCTCTCTTTTCAGGTTGTAGAGTCTTTTCTGCAAATCAGTTACATTTGATATGAGACATTAGTTTTGTATTCAGTATGGGGTCATGGAAGAAGAGGGAGGGATGGGGAAACATATTCTTTTTATATAGTGTACATGTGGGGGGGGGTTGTCAGTGTCAACTGGGTAGGTTCTCTTTCTACTTGCTTATTACCTTTCCTTGGTAGTGAGAGGGATTGGTGAGGGGCAAGGCGTGGTTGGTTATCTGTAGTTGGTTGCAGTGGGGTTTGTTTGTATTTGTGAGGGGGTGGATGGATTGAGCCAGTGGTCCATGTTCACACCTGACAGGTCTTTCCAGTGTCTGGCTATGGTGTTAAGCACTGAATTGTAGAGCCTCAAAAGTTCTGGTCTAACTCTGTTGACACTTGCAATACTATATAATAATAATAATAATAATAATAATAATAATAATAATAATAATAAATTTTATTTATATCCCGCCCTCCCCAGCCGAAGCTGGGCTCAGGGCGGCTAACAACAATCAAAATAATCCGACATAAGAAGAAGAGTTTGGATTTGATATCCCGCCTTTCACTCCCTTTAAGGAGTCTCAAAGCGGCTAACATTCTCCTTTCCCTTCCTCCCCCACAACAAACACTCTGTGAGGTGAGTGGGGCTGAGAGACTTCAAAGAAGTGTGACTGGCCCAAGGTCACCCAGCAGCTGCATGTGGAGGAGCGGAGACACGAACCTGATTCCTCAGATTACGAGACTACCACTCTTAACCACTACACCACACTGGCTCTCCACTGGCCCTCCATATTCACCATGAACAGAGCAGCAACAGGAAGAGATAAACCAAAACAAGAATAACAAGTGCTTTAAAGAAGATGTTTCGCTCTCACAGACTAGCATGTAGTGTGCTATGGATGCATGCAGTGTAGCCACTGATTTTGTAGCACATGGTGGAGCCCTAAGCAATTATAGGATTCCTTTGAAATGCAAAAATCGCCACCACAGCAATATCCAAGTGTTAATTGTGGATGCAGTCAGATCCCTAACTCTAAGGGCATCAATTAAATCAAATCAAACATTTCTAGGTGGAAGCTTTGCTTTTTGTAATTAACGTTTGCTCAGATGTTTCCTCCAGCAGGATATTGATCACTTTTGAAGCATCTTAACTTTTTAGCTTGAGAAGTCTCCTGCTGGAGAAGGCCGGGCAGTATTTCTTTTATGTTTCTAAGAATTTAAGAACCCTCCTGGACCAGGCCAAAGGCCCAACTAGTCCAGCATCCTTGTCTAAGATTCATGGAAGATAAGGCTATCAATGACTACTATATCAATGATGGCTGTAGGTGTCTCTGAATACCAGTTGCTGGGGATTATAAACAGGTGAGTCCTGTTGTGCTCATGTCCTGATTGTGGGCTTCTCATAGGCATCTGGTTGGCCACTGTGAATATTTGGTTCTGGGTCTCAGCCAGAGTCCAGTTAGCATAAAGGTGATTCTGCCAAGCTCAAAACCACAGGAGAGCAGAACAGAAAGATTCCTAATTGCCACATTTATTGGTGTGGGCATAGCAAATTCCTACCTTCTGCTTGCAGTATACAAGCCTTTTGGTTCATCTGCTGTTGACCTTCAGTTTGCCTTGGCTAAGTGCCTCATGAAATCTCAAAAAATAAAAATAAAATCTTAAAAAGGAGTAGTACACAGCTAGAGTGCATTCCTTTTATTTGCCTGAGATACAAATCTATTGAAGCAAAGAGTCTCTAGTTAAATCTCAGATTTAGAAATGTAATTCTTAAGAGTCCAACTTAATAATGCTCATGGTGAAAACCTTAACAGTTAACACAGCAGAAGATAAGATGGGGTTGGTGACAATTCCATGTTAATAATAGCCGTCCTTTTGACAGGGAGCTATATTTTTAGAAGGTTTTTGTTCTGTTTTGCTTGAGGGCCTGTGGCAGGAAATTAAAGAAAATAACAATGAACATAAACATATTTTTTCCCCCAAACAGAAGGGAGGTTGATGAAAACATCTACTCTACCATTTATATTCTCCAGGGGGAAAGCTTGGTGAGTCATGCACTTTAAGTGATCGCAGTGTAGCTAAAGGAGAGGACGGAATTATTCTAGCAAATAACTAGCCAATGATAGGCTTAAAAATAGAGGCATTCATAATAAATGCCTGAAAGAAAAGAGCTATTTTGCAAAGCAGCAAGATAATGGGTCTCATCTGCAGTTGTCTCAGTAAGAAATCGCTTTCCAGGTACACCTATTTTCAAGAATACATAATTAGTGGTGCAAAAATTGCAGAGAGACCAATAAGCAGCAGGAGACCTTTTACTGGCTGCATTTGCACTGAAGGATAACCTATTCACATCAAGATCAACCTCTTTGTGACTGTGCCATGGGTCAAGTTCTAACCCAAGGTGTGGGATGTGTCACTTCTTTGTGTACTACCCTGCAAAGATGGTAGATCAGGATCTCCTGGTGAATTTCGGTATGAGTTGCAGTAGAGCAGGAAAGATTCCTGACTCCCACTTGTTCAGAAATGGCAATGACAAAATAAATCCCCCATCACCATAAAAAATACATTGCGGAAATTAAAAAAAAGTTATGTGGAAAGCTTGTGCACTCAGTTCAGTTCTGATCCTCCAAGCAAATTATGGGGCTCCGAGTTCTTTCATGTTAAATGTGTGTCTTTTGCTCCTGAATTATCAGGGATGGAGAACCTGTTCCCTCCAAATGTTGTCAGACTCCATTTCCCCTTCAGCCCCGGCCAGCATGGCCTGTGGTCAGGGATGATAGGAGTTGTAATCCAACAATGTTGGATTCCCCATTCCAGCTGCAGAATATGAGTTTACATTGTTCAGTCTTTAGAAGTCCAAACAACTGACCCAGAACATCCCTGAAAAATAAAGTCTAGAACTTGTTTACAATTATGTGCCTCCGTTTTCTTTTTAAAACAAGAAGCCTGGTTCATTTTTGTTTGTTTGTTTGTTTATATCCTGCCTTTCTTCTGTCATGGAACTCCAAGTTGGTGCAAATGTACAGTTGTACCTTGGTTTTCAAACAGCTTAATTCTCAAACGTTTTGGCTCCTGAACACCGCAAACCCGGAAGTGACTGTTCTGGTTTGTGAACTATTTTTGGAAGTCAAACGTCCAACAGGGCTTCCACGGTTTCCGATTGGCTGCAGGAGCTTCTACAATGTAGTTCCCAGGCCATCACCCATCCAAATCTTTCATCTCTCACCTGCTCTTTCGGCATACCAGGTTACCGGCCAAACTCCACCCACTCTGCTGTCTTGGAATTATGACAGAGCAATCTGCTGAGTCACATTATAAATGACTTTGTACATTCCTGGAACATGGTGATAGAAGTTACTGTTTTGAAGCGAATGTTTAGTTCAGCTTTCTTTCTTTTGTGACCTGTGCTTAATCTCTGTCTCTGTATTTCTGCCTACAACCTTAAAATAAAATAACATAACTCCTGTAATTTGTAGTTCTCCTGACGTTTAGCCTGGGAATCCTAAAAAGGCACTGCTACGCCCTCTAAACTTTAAAGTATCTTGGTTTTACATTACAAGTAGTGTAATCCAATTCGTGTTTATGCAAAGCATGTTACATTGTGTCTAATGGAGTCTAATCCCAGTACAGTACATGTGTTTAAGGTTACAGCCTAAGTTGCTCAGTAAGTAATAAGGGTTGCAATCCTGAATATTACTTACTAGGGTAAACTTGCATAGAATTGCACTGCTGGACATAAAGTACAAAACAAATACATTAAAATGCAGACATAAAAGAAGTACAATAAACCTCAGTAAAAATTATCAGAACAAGGCTGGCAATAAAATCAGCAGAATGCTTAAATGAACAAAGCAGCCTTTAACAGATGCTGAAACAACGTCACAGGTGGTAGCTGCCTTACACACACGTGTGCATGTGTGTGTATGACACACACAGAGAGAGAGAGATTTCAGAGGTTGGGAGCCACTGCAAAAAAGGTTCATCGCCTGGTTGCCATGAGATCTAAAATGGGTTAGCACCATTTTATTTTAATTTTGCACCAAGGCAAAATTAAATTTAATGGAGAGGACCATTAAATATGAGCTGGCCTGAGACATTTTGCTGCCTGAGCCAGAATAGCAAATGGCAAACACACCAAGTAAAGATGCATAGTACCTAAGGAGATTTTGGCACAAAAGGCAGAACAGCCTATAAGCACTCCCCCCCCTTCCCTGGTTGCAAAAGGGCTGTACAACAATAATAAAGTCACTAACAGTTTGCTACCCTTTCACAATATCCCAACCAGCTCCTGATGCAGCTGCCTCACTCTGTCTAATGGTAGCTCCAAAGTGTGTGTTTAATGTGCTTCCTTTTTAATGCCTTGTTGAAAAACAACTTTTCCTTATTCTCAGGAGAATTTGAATTCTTCACAGTAGAGGGCACTAAAGAATAGTCTTACGACGGAGGAATCCTAGTTTTCATAGGAATGCCTGTGCCTCTGTGACCAAGCATGCAAGCTGGACACGGTTGTTATGTGTAACATATGTTTCCAGTTAGGTGGAATTATGAGTCCAAATAGCTCAGAGATTGCTTTCTAAGTTCCCATTTTTAAATGTGCATTTTAGGTTCCTCAATTCTCCCATGCAGAAACTGGACTAACACAGCATGACTAAGGGAAGCCTTTCCAAATAGTGGGCTGGCTGCATGGCATAAACCGCTAGCAGTTTCTATGGGACAAGAGTCTTCATTTTGTGTAAGGCAAACAGAATAAACATTGGGCAAACAGAGAATTTCTTTACAATAGTGCAGTTGAATGCCTTAACCCACCATCTGTCCCACCTTCCTTTCGCTGAATTAAGGATTGCTTGCATGGGATTCCCAGGCAGTCTCTCTCTTTCCCATTCAGACACTGACCAAATCAATCTTAACTTTAGCAAAGTTGCCTTTGTGCCTTTCGACCCGAGCCTATAGATTTTATATAGCATGCAATTTGATGATGAAGAGAAACTTACAAGGCACTGGTGTTCTGCAAAATGTGATCTAACAGGTAAAGATTATGAAGGAATTTGTATATTAAAGTATAAGTTATAAATAATAATTTAAAAATGCTGTGTTCTCTTTGGTGTAAACACTGGTGTTGAAGCTCTTAATTTAGTGCAGCTGGATGGTGATCCTTAAAACCTTTCTCATTCTCAAAGCGGACTTTGGACTTTGACTAGCAAAGGATTAGTACTGACTGATATGACTACACATTATATCATGCCTTTTTTTTTTGCAGGTACATTTTAAAGCAGGCACATCAAGGAAAGTATTCACTGCAATTATAGGGTGTTTTTTTTCTCACCAGCGAAGAACTCCAGGAAACCAAACTACTCCCACTATATCTACAATAAATAAGTAAGTAAGCAAGTAAGTAAGTAAGTAAGTAAGTTAGAGTGTCAACAGTCCCCCCCCCCTTAATGTGTTACTTGTATCAATTCCCTTTAAGATTTTTGACAGCCTGCCATTTATTCCTATCAACATATTTCAGTGTAACAGCTGCCCACTGGCTATAATGTAATGCTGGAGCCCCACATACAAACAGTAATGGGGGAACTTAGATGGACTACGAAGGTGCCAAGAGTTCTGATAAAAATGCCCTGAGATACTGTCCACCTTGCAGAAATCAGCAGGGGCTAGAGAACACAAGAACTATAAAATAAGCAGTGCCATATCACTGGCGTATCTACACCCATAGGCTTAATAGCTAACTTTGGAAAATGCAGTTCTGTGAAGGGGTCTAGGGATCTACATCACAAGATTCTCAATACCCTCAATACCCTTACCAAGCAAAAGCTGCTTGTTCTCTTTGGGAGTAAGCCATGATATTAAATGGTACAGATGTTCTGGATCATGGGTATACCATCTATTCATACACAGACACTCACAGCATGTTTTCTAATATATCCTTAGCATCATGCGGGGGGATACATTCTTTAATTCTGACCCTCCATAAGTCACTGGCCTCCAATTCCCATGGAGTTCACAGAAGGTGATCGAGTCGTAGTCCAATAACACCTGGAGGGCCACAGGTTCCCTATCCCTGCTTTATTTAAAAACGATGGAAGACTAGATTTTTCTGGAGCAAAAATCAGGCAACTATACAACCTTATCTGTGTAAAGGATCTCCTTCTTCCTCACTTTTGTCCAGTACCCAGGATTTTAGGTGCTTTATATAAATCATGAACTAAGTATACTAATTACAGTGGTACCTCTGGTTAATTCGTTCTGGAGGTCCGTTCTTAACCTAAAGCACCACTTTAGCTAATGGGGCCTCCCGCTGCTGCCGCGCCGCTGGAGCACGATTTTTGTTCTCATCCTGAAGCAAAGTTCTTAACCCGAGGTACTATTTCTGGGCTAGTGGAGTCTGCAACCTGAAGCGTATGTAACCTGAAGCGTCTGCAACCTGAGGTACCACTGTAGTCTAGAACTGTACTATTGGAAGTCACAGTTGGAGGCAGTGATGCTTCTTGATACCAGTTCCTAGAATCCAGGGGGTGAGGATGGGTGGGGATGCTCTTGCCCCCAGGCCCTGCTTGAGGGTTTCCTATAGGCATCTGGCTGGTCACTGTGGGAACAGGATGCTGGACTAGATGGGCCATTGGCCTGATCCAGCAGACTCTATTTACGTTCTTGAGTGTCATCCAGCAGCAGCAGCACCATCAGGCTACAGCAGAGAGGGAAGCAAAGTCTTCATCAGCTCTACTAAGAGACCCCTTGCTTCCTCAGAACTGTTTCCATTCAAGCTGATGAATGTATGAATCTTGTAACTTCTATAATCGGTATCTGAGTTTGCTTGCTTTCCTCTTCCTCCCCGTCCCCTTTTTCAGCTGGAGAACTGGGTGAAAACGCTCTAAATTAATGAACAAATAATTGTGATTCACAGAAGACAACCCACTTTATAGGAAGATGTTACAGAGATCTTACCTTATGGGCTATTCACATACCAGTCCTGAATGAATAGTAGGTAAGGTAAAGGTAAAGGACCCCTGGAAGGCTAAGTCCAGTCTTGTCCACAAGACAATATTAATAGCAGAGAATGTTTGGAAAATCAAAAGCAGTTTACACACAAATTGCACTCTGGTTAAATCTATTTAATTTCTCTTAGTACATCAGCTTACTTGTTAGCAGGTTCATTAATATTAAGTAAAACAAAATAACAACCAGCTTTAAAGCATATTTCTTTAAAAAAGCAAGTATTCTTGCATAAATTCTGTAAAGCTCAGAAGGTATATATAAAACGTATCAAAATTAACTATTATCTAGGTAGAAATATATCATTTTGGGAATGCAAAGGCTTGATTTTTCTGTCAACACTGGACAAGATAATTCTTTAAATAGCAGCTTTCAGAGATTTCCATCCATAAGGTTAAACCCAGCAAGCCAGCTTAATGCTTTTTCCAGTGAGATATTCATCTGAGCTCTTACTCTTGGTGCCTAGGGCATTCCAGGAAGATGAGTTTTATTAAACACCATGACAGATACTTCTGTCCTATACACACAGGCTGCTTGATTGTCTGCAGCTGCTTTGACTGCAGCAGGATAAACAGAGAGCTATGCCAAGGCAACATCTAGTACCCAACAAATGGGGCAAAATTCTGCATGCCATACAGATGTCTTACACAACTCCCACCTGCTTTGTAATCCTAGGTGTAGCATTCTAGCTGCAAAGCAAGATTGCTGGGGCTACTTTCTATTCCTGCCCTGATTTCTCTGCCAAAAATGCCCTTGAGTGCCACATGAACTGCCCTAGACTATTGTGGCTGTAAGGTGGCCCTCTGCACCACCTGTAGAACAAGAATTGTCATTTGCTATGGTGTCAGAAGCCACATGGTCCCAGGACAATCAGATCATAAGGAGCCACCTTATACTGAGATGGACCAACTGCTCATCCAGCTTGGTATTATTTATTTACACTGACTAGTAGTGGCTCTCCAAAGTTTCAGACATGGAGTCTTTCCCAGCCTCACCTGGAGATGCTGGAGAGTGAACCTAGAAGCTTCTACATGCAATGCAGATGTCCTACCACTGAGCTACCTCCCTTCCCTTGCAGCAGGGGTGGGCAGCTGGATCTGGTTGGTGGGACAGATTGTTATCTCTCCCACCCCTCACAGGCAACGTTTGAGAGACAGGTGGGGGACGCTCACTTATCAATCACCTGGCATCATGGCACCAGGGGGTCCATTTTTGCCTGCAGGGGTCTTCAGGATCATTTTGTGAGGTGCTTCACAAGACCCAAGTAGGACTTTGCAAGCACCACCCATCCGTGGTACCTATAAACCCCCTTTCAGCTGAGCCAGGTCTTCATCTGCCCCACAACTGATGACATATATGAAGTCAAGGGTAGGGCAGGTGGGTGTGGCTTGGCCAAAATGGCCTTGGGGGTCATGAGAGGAGGCCTAACTAGGTCTAAGTCGGCCTGTGGGCTGAAGATTCCTCACCCCTGACCTACAGTCACAGGTCAAGCAGGTGATACAGAAGAAGAATGAAAGTCTACCGCAGAGTAGTGGTGGGGAAATGACATAATAGAGTAGGTGTGGGGAACCTCTTTTATAATGCTAGAATTCATGGACATACAATGAAGCTGAATGTTGGAAAATTCAGTATGTATTTTTAAAAATAAACACATAAACTATGGCACTTACTTGCATAGTGCCCAATTTAGATGGGTTTGAAAGAGGATTAGATTCTTAATTCTATTAAAGGGCTATAGATGGATACTAGCCATGGCAGCTGTGCTCCACCTCCAGAGTTGGAGGCAGTAATGCTTCCAAATACCAGTGCTGGAGACCACAGGAGATGAGAGTACTCTTGGGCTCAGGTCTTGCTTGAGAGCTTCCCATAAGCAGCTTGGCTGGCCACTGTGACAACTGGATGTCCTGATTCCACAGGATCATCTTATGGTCTCACGTTCTAACCTGATGCTGCTGAGCTACAACTCCCATAAACTCTTAGCTATTGAGACATGCTTGCTGAGGCTGATGAGAGTCATAGTTCTGCCACATTTGAAGGGCCAAAGGTTTCCCACACCTTTAATACAGGTTTATAAAAGTACGCATGGTGTGAAATTAGCACAGTGGTGGGGAACATTCTTCAGTCTGAGGACTGCAGTCTCTTCTGGGCAGCCTTCTGGGAGCTGCATGACAGTGGTAGGCAAGGCCAGAGACAAAAGCAGGCAGAGCAATGAATGTAAATGTTACCTTTGTACCATAGGCTAGTTTATACACACACACCTGCTTCTATCCTCTATCCAAGCAAATGAAACTAATTATCTGCCCTCAAAAACACATTTCAGCCACTGAAGGTGGGCATGAGGCTGGTGAAAGTGGACGTGGCTTGCAGAAATGTTCCCTTCCCTTAAGAGAGATAAAAGCACTACCAGGGTCTGGCAACCCTACCCACAGAGGTCTCACAATTCTCCAGCTAAGAACCAGGACTCCCAAGGTATCTGGAACTGATTGCAAGATGCTTGGCTACGTGATGGAGCCAATGCAATAATGTCCTCAAGTTCTTATTTTGTCAAATAATTTTTCTTCCCAATTCTCCCTTTTCATCCATCTTTTCTGGTCTTTGCCTGCTTCTGCTGTTGCTCCTGCGTGTTCTAACATGTAGACCAGGGATGGGTAACCTGTGGCTCTGCAGATGCTGTTGGACTCCAATTCCCATCCAGCCCAGCCAGCATGGCCAGTGGTCAGGGATGATAGGAGTTGTAGTCCAACAACATCCAGAAGTTCCCAATCCCTGATATAGTAGACATTCCACAGATGCAGCTTTTCCTGCCTCTGTGGAACACCAGCCCACCATGCAGCATTACTAAGGCCTGACCAGAATTATGAAAAATTCCTCTCTTTGTTTTCCTTTCATGTGTCCCCTCTACCTCCATTTCCTCCTACATGCTGTCCTTTTCTTTGTCCACAGATTTTGCTTTTGTCAAGGCCAGCCCGACTAATAGGCGGCAGTACAGTCTGGTCCATTGGGCTGAATGGGGCACTACCGCACCAGCTTCAGTTTACCCTCAGTCAACCTCCATCTCCCTACCTTTTTTCAATTATAATTGGTCCAAAGGATGTAACTGGCTTTCAGCTCCCTCCTCCTTAGCTTCAGTGTTTCCTGTGCAGAACTCAGCAAGGAGAAGGATAGAGACAAAATTAGAATTAATTGACTTTGCCTATCATTGACCGTGGTTTTGCCTGTCATTGGCTCTGGCTCCACCTACTGTTGGCCTCCTGCCTTACATGCTAGCAGTCCCAGTGGAGACCAGTCACCACTGTTAGGCAAAGGTGGCTGCCTCAAGGGGTGAGGAATGGAGGTGAGGTGTTGAAGGACAGAGTTGTGCATGTCGCATAGTCTGCCCTATACCTCTCAGGCCTCATGTGTGGCGGGGGGCACTGTCCTGCCACCAATGTTCATTCAGCTGACAATCCAGTTGGATTTTGCACATGGAATGGGAGGTGGGGTGCCATCCTTGCCTCAGGTGGCCAAATGTCTTGGGCCAATCCTGCTGGTGAGTGGTTGACACACAATTACTATATTTCTAAAGCTAGCCCAGCTAATCAACGTTTTGTTCTTTTGGCCTTACTCATTCTTTTGATCAAAGCACTTATCAGAGAACTACTCAAGTCCAGAGCAGCAAATTAGCCATCCTGAATGTTCAGTCTGATCTATTTTTTCTTTCTTCGTGCTGAGTTGAGAGACATTTCTGAAGACGAAGTTTCAGCGAAAGGGAAATTTGGCCAGGTGCTTCAACGACCATTCCTTCTGTCTTCAACCCAAATGTGGCAGGCTGCAAGTCTTAACGAAACGCCGTAGCTATTGAAACAGCCACTCCAAGAGGAGATGAGTAGGCATTAGCTAATCCCTGCAGACCAAGTACCAGATAACGGCATCCTTTTTGCAGTGCTTTGCCCACATTCTAGAAGAAAAGAACAGAGAACACTACTGAAGAGCAGGACATACTCAAGAAAGTGACAACATATACCCCATGTTTCCTCAAGGTGGCATACATAGGTATCCCAACCTCTCCATTTTAATCTCACAACAACCCTGTAAAGTAGGTTAGGCTGAGAGATTGTGACTGGCCCAAGGTCACCCAGTGAACTTTATATCTGAGTTGAAATTTGAACCCCTGTCTTCCAGGTCCTGGTCCAACAATAACCATTACACCACACAGATTTTTTTACATTTATTTTCAGCTTCAAAAAATATTACTTGAGTGAGGCTCTGTTCTAACAATGCTTTCTGGTCACAAGGTATAGGAAAGCCAGTGCAGTGTACTAGAAAGAGTGGTGTACTTAGATCTGGGAGACCAGGGTTTGAATCCCTACTTAGCCATGAAGCTCACTGTGGAGCTGGCCACCATCTCTCAGCCGACACTACCACACAGAGTTACTGGTTAATGATATGGGGTGCAGCCCCTTAGTTCCTTGGGGCGGGGAGCAGGATATATTTGTAACAAGGGCCAGCTCACATGTGAGACAAGGTGATGCGATCAACTCAGGTGCAGGGATCCAAAGGAGCAGCAGGTTCTGATACGTATAGATTTTTATCCCCCTCCCCCTGGTTTCTAATGCAGATCTCCACTTACCTATTATCTCTGCTGGGGAGCAGGGCACTAATTTGTGGTTTGCCTCAGGTGCCAAAATGTATTGGGCTGGTCCTGGATACCATGCTGATTTCATCTGAATGTGACTTTTGAAAGTGGTCAGAGCCAGCATTTATCACATTCAGGCTTTGTTTTCCATGCAATTCCTCTATATTATATCACTTTCGTTGACCAACCTACGTACATATATATGCACACATACGGACATTCCTTTCCTGCCTTATACCTCAAAGGCTTCTCAAGACAGCTTACAAATAATGTAAACCCAAACAGAAAATATACAATACAACCCCCACCTACCCCCATTTCCTTCTCACCAAAACCACTTCCTTTACACTGCCTGCACCCCTTTATGAAGGCACATCAAGCGCCTGAGAACTCCATTAAAATCTGAGAAGAGGAAGAATGTGAGGGGAAAGAGAGACCATGTTGGCCATCAGGGAATGACTGTTTCCACCTGCCTTGCACCACCCTTCAGCAGGAGTGCTAGATTGGCTCCACTGGTGCATTTGCACTATGCCATCATCCCTACCTTCCTCCACTTCTCCTGACAACTCATGGGGTCAGGTGAGTACCACCACTCTACCATGGCATCTGCTACTGCCTAAGGAAGCTGCTTCCAAAATAAATCAGTGGGGAATTTCTGGTCTTTGGTTTGTTTGGTTTTGCTAGGAGCTAATGTCATCAGCTTTGCAATATTCAATATTTTTGAATATTGGTGACCTTTGTGTTCACTTAAATTTTGTCGGGTTGGTTTTTTTTTTTTGGTAATTTGTTGTAATTGTGTTCTACTTTTTATTAGGTATCGTTGTTGCACTGCTCTCTTTAGACTTTCTTTTTATGTGAATCTATGACTATCACCTTTTTGAAAAAAAAACCTTTATTTAGATAGGTAAGGTTGTTGCCTTTATTTTATAACATAATAAGTAACAATCCTTAAGGAATAGAGGGTTGAAAAGACATTAAAAATAACAAAAGGCAGCTCCCCCAGATTCATGCTGGGACAAATGAAACAAAACCTCACTGGAAGCTGGAGGCTGCTATGCTGTTTTTGCAGCAAATACTTGGTGCTGGAGGAGTGTATGAGACTCCCTGGAATTCAAGCTATTTCCTTTAGACTGAGATTGCCTCAAGTACTAGATTACACAACACCAGCTATCTATCACCATGGTCTCATTCATCAATTCATACTCAGGAAAAACTTAGTTGTGGATTGTTAAGTGAGTCTGAATAAAGGCTTGGTCATATCAACGCTATACATTGAAAACACTAGGATACCACATTAATTATCAAAAGCTAATGCTATTCTAGGCTGCATAAACAGAACTATAGGGTCCTCATCAAGGGACGTAATAGTTCTGCTCCATTTTGCCTTGAGCATACCACTCCTGGGGAACTGTGTCCAGTTCTGGGCACCACAATTTAAGAAGGATATTGACAAGCTGGAACGTGTGCAGAGGAGGGCTACCAAGATTATCAAGGTCACCTATGAGGAATTGGAGTTGGATATGTTTAGCCTGGATAGGAGGAGACTGAGAGGAGATATAATAGCTATCTTCAAATATCTAAATGGCTGTCACATGCAAGATGGAGCAAGCTTGCTTTCTCTTTCTCTGGAGGGTTGGACTCAAACCAATGGCTTCAAGTTATAAACAATGAGATTCCAACAAAACGTTGGGAAGAACTTTCTGATGGTAAGAGCTGTTTGGCAGTGGAATGGACTCCCTTGGAAGGTGGTGGATTTTCCTTCATTGGAGGTTTTTAAGAAGAGGTTGGATGGCCATCTGTCATGGATGTTTTAGCTGAGATTCCTGTATTGCAGGCGGTTGAAATAGTTGAGCCTCAGGGTCCTTTCCAACTCTTCAATTCTATTAAGTGGCTAAATTTTGGCCCTTTGGTCCAAACTACAGTGGTACCTCGGGTTACATACGCTTCAGGTTACATACGCTTCAGGTTACAGACTCCGCTAACCCAGAAATAGTGCTTCAGGTTAAGAACTTTGCTTCAGAATGAGAACAGGAATTGTGCTCCGGCGGCGCGGCAGCAGCGGGAGGCCCCATTAGCTAAAGTGGTGCTTCAGGTTAAGAACAGTTTCAGGTTAAGTACGGACCTCCGGAACGAATTAAGTACTTAACCTGAGGTACCACTGTAATTCTAAAACTTGCTGCAGCCGCAAACTTAAGGCAGGGCAGTGACTGAACTTGTGACCCTCTAGTTGTTAGACTACAAATTCCATCATCCCTGACCACAGGCCATGTTGGCTGGGCTGATGGGAGTTGTAATCCAACATTATCTGGAAGGTTCAGAGTTCCTCATCTCTGTGATAGTTGCACAATCACACCTCTTTAAAATGCACTGGTGCAGCCAACTCCCTATCAAATGCTTAGAATTGTATGACGTCATTGGTGCAAGATCAGAATAAATTCCTGTTCAAGGAAGAGAAAGATGAAGCTGGAAAGCCACCAACAGAGGTGGTCGCATAGAGGACATCATTGTCTCATCCTCTATCTAGCCTTGGCCAAATTACTTCACCTCTTTTGTTTCATTGGGCCTGGCAGAGATTCTGTCATAAAATGCTTGGACCTTGGCCAAAACAATGGAGCCCTGATTTCAGCAGGGTTCAAGGTACTTTCCAACACAAACATACAGCATGACCTTTGTGTTCATTTCCTATACACGATGAAGCAATATTTAAGAGGCGGGATGTGAAAGTCTCACCGAAACCTGTAGCAAATGACACAGACAACAAATCATGGCCATCAAACTCCCTATGTACATACATTATACCTTTAAATCACATTTGAAGCACATTTGCCCCCTCAAAGAATTATGGGCACTGCACTTTGTTAAGGGTTACTGGAATTGTAACTCTTTGAGGGGTAAATTACAATGCCCATAATTCTTTGAGGGAAAGAATGTGTTTCAAATGTGCTTTAAAGGTGACATGACTGCTGCATGTTGAATCTCATATACAAGACTATCAGCACCAACACGTGAGCTAATCATACTTTCAGTTGACCCATACAATATATGAAATTTCCACAGACAACCTGATGCTTACTATTTTGTCCAGGGATAGGGAACCTATGGCCATTGTCCCTGACTGAATGACCTTGGACCAGTCACTTGGGACAGAGTAACCTACTTCACAGGGTTGTTGTAAGGATAAAAGGGGAAAGGGTCATTTATATCCCAATGAGTTCAAGGTGACATACATGGCTCTCCCCACCTCTCCATTCTCTCCTCACAACTACCCTGTGAGGTAAATTAGGCTGGGAGACAGTGACTGGCCAAAGGTCACCCAGTGAGCTTCCTGGCTGAGTGGGGATTTGAACCCTGGTTTCCCAGGTCCTAGACCAACATTCTAACCACTACACCACACTGGCCACCTTGACCTCCTTGCAGAAAAGGGTTGGTATGAGGGAAAGACTGGTAATTCCAATGGCAGAGCATGTAGAAGTTCGCAGGTTCAATCCCCAGGTAGTGCTGAAACCCTGGAGAGCCCCTGATAGTCATTGTAGACTGAGCAAGATAGACCAATGGTTTGATTCAGTATAAGGCAGCTTCCTATGTACTTAAAAGGACAGGTATACGTATAATGAATTAATTAATAAATAAACAAACAAACAAACAAACAGCAAGAGTAGTATTTTCAGTGGTAAAACTCTTGCAGTAAACCAGCAGCAAAGTGTTAATGCTGATGCAGTCGGACACAGAACGGAAGGGAGGTCTATTATTTTATCTCTTTGTCTCTGTTGCAGAGGGTGGGAAACGAACCTCACACTTCTTGCTAATTGGAACATTGTCAAAGTAAGGATGCCAAGTGAAGAAATGCGGCACAAAGAGATGCAAAGCATCTGTCACGTGGATTAGCTTAGAGTATTTTACAGACTGAAATGGCAGGTCTCTCTTTTGATCTACAGGAATGCTGGCTTCAGCTCAGATAGGACTGGTTTCTTCTTAAAAGGGAAAGGGAAAAGGGGGGGGAGGTGAAAGCCAACAGGCTCCTTCACTGGATTTAACTTGTTATTTGTTTTTTCAAAGACAATTCTGTTTGTGCTGCAAGAGCAGCCTTCTGCCACAAGAATTATCCAAAGAAGATCGCATGAACGTAAAGTTGTTATTACGTACTTATAAGTGGAGCCTGCAACAAAATCCTCTTTTTTTCAGGATTCCAACCACTCAAGTTCCCCTTGTCCCCTCCCAACAGTCAACAGTCAACCAACCAGCATTCTGTAGCCACTGAGCAGCACTCTCAGTCCTCACTAGGTTCTTTGCAGGGAGGAGTGTCCTTCACCTTTTATCTAAGG